ATAAGAGCTCCCCAGGAAACAGTTCAGCAATATCCATAAACAAAAAGGGATTTACACAGTAGACTCTAAAGAGTTTCCAAGGAGTCATTATGGAATACAGGTAGATAAAATGCAATTTAAATATATTTTCCTTGTTTAAACAATGTGTATCAGGTGCATAGGAAATAACAGATTATACAATGCTTTATGTTTTTTCGAATATTAAAAGTACTCAAAGAAAACTTCTTTGCGGCACTTTTCCTGAAGCCCCAGTTTCTCACCATTGCAAGAGGGACGATGCCCACAAAGGTTGTCTGGCTGACGAAGATCTCAGAGACGACCAGCTCACTCATGGTATCCTCGACTGGGTACTCTACCTGCCAGGTAATTTGCTGAGCCCCAGCCAGGCCACTGCTGTTGTCAATTCCAAAGTCTACTTGCAAGATTTCATAGAAGGAACCATTTGCTCTGGAAAACAAACACATGTTAAAGTTCAGTTTAAAGTTCAGAACACAGCAGAATGTCAAGAATGCAAAAAATTGCCACATTCCTCTTTGTCAACCAAAAGAATGACTGCTAACTTAAACAAAGCACATGGCAGTGTCGACAGAGCCTAATTCATAGACTTCCCATCAATGGCCCACACCTCAGAATGGGCTGAGATCCATCTTCAAGGCTCTGTGGAAGCCGAATGCTCTTCATTGAAGGAGTAACTCAGACAGCATTTTGTCTCTGGGTATGCCATGCACAGCTCTCTCCCCACCCAACCCATGTGTGCCCATGCTACAGTCTGAGCACCACACACAGGAAATGTCCCAAAGCCTTCTCATGTAGCTTCACCGTTCCTCCAATCTGGATTCTGACTATTTTTACTTCTACTTAGCTGTGTGTCTATGGAGCAGTGATTCAAACTCACTAAGCTTTAGAATTTGGGAGAATAGTGGTGACATCACGAGCTTGTGGAAGCATCGTGAGACCAAGAGTGGGAAAGGACTTCATAAACTCACATGGCTTACTGCATAAACTATGAGTGACATAATAAGGTGCGATAGTTGATTTTTCATTTCATCAGCCTGAAATTGGATTAGATGTAATCTAAGAAAATCTCACCTGTCTCGGGCCGGCCCGGTGGCGCACTGGATAGTGCGCCGCTAGGGAAGCGCGGNCACTGAGGGTTGCGATCCGTTGCCGGACACGGAAAAAGACAAAAAAAAAAAAAGAAAATCTCACCTGTCTTAATTCATGGAGTGACAACTTTATATGTGTGTTTGGGGAAAGAAAGGAGAAAGTGGGCAGGGCACATATAAGTGTACGTACACAAAGGCTCTCGAAAACTTTGGGCTGACTACCACATTGACAAGGAAGTTACTGACCAGAGACTTAAAACAAAAGCCATCCACCCCAGAATTTGTGAATGACCTCTGTTCTGTAAGCTTGTTTCTATCACCTGAATCCAGCTTTACCCAGATCCAAGGAAACTGACAGCAGAGACTGATTCACAAGCTCCCCAAGGCCTGAGTCACACAAAGCAGCCTGCTCATTCTCTGCCTGGATCCAAATGGGCTTAGGAGCTTTCTGCCTTGGGCAGGTCTGCAGTCCTGACCCCCCAACTCTCAACCTGTGAAGAGTTTTGAGACAGTACCTCCTGCCTGCTGCTTGTCCAATGGAATTTTCCTACCACGGACAGCTCCCCCGCCACTGAAGACTTCCATAGAATGGGGTGGGGGAAACCACAACCATAAGCTTTCTTCATATATGCCAAAAGGTACCAGAGACAATACTCATGTACAGAAATGGCATTGACAAGACTAAACTGCCATGAGATGATAAGAAATTTTACCCAAAATTGAACCACATTTGAATCCATATAGAATTGGTCATGTCCAACCTTCTCCCCACTTGCCCAAGGTTTTAAGAAACTCTCAGATACCGCACTGTTGAAGATGGTGGCCACCAGCCAAAAGTGGCTATTTACATTCAAATGAAATTAATTTCAAAATAAATCAAGTTAAAAATTCAGTTCCTCAGTCAAGTACCCAATAGCCACATGTGGCTAGTGCTACCACATTGGGCAGGGCAGATGGAGAAGTGCTGACTTGCTTTGTACCTGGGCAAGTCACTTACATCCCTCCAGGCTTCAGCTTCCTCACTTGGAAAGTAAGGGAATAATAATATGCCTGTCTGCCTACTTTCAGTAGAGGAATGAGGATGGAATGAGGGAATGGATGTGAACTCACTTCATGCATTGTCCACTACTATGAATTCATATTGTGATGATACCAAAATTACTAGAGACATACAGCTTTGGAATACTTCAGGGACTTCCACAGGCAAACATCCAGGTGGTCCCAGCTGAGCCTAAGTGGGGTGTGGGTACCTGGGAGCTATGTATCCTCATATATCTATTTGTACAAGTTGTTTTGCACAGAGGGGAAAGTGTATATTGAATTGGATTCCTGGCCTCATAAGAGGATTTATAGTGGCACACATGGGACATGGCCATCCCCCCACACCAGGGTACTCTTATTTACCTGGACATATTTAGTAAAAAGGCAAAGAAAGAAGAGATTAAGGGCTGAGTTCTGAATTACCAAAGGGATTTCAGGAACTTAGGGACTTAGATGCTGAGTCCTCAGCTCCAGCCACTCCCCATTTCCCATCCACCACACCCCAGCCTGAAGTCTCCTCCCTGGTCGTGGGAATTGTCCTCATATCCATCTGTTACATTTCCTCCTATAAGAGATGTTTGGTCCTATCAGATAAAATCTTCAATTTCTCTTTGGGCTGCTCTGTGCTTTGTAACCAGAACTAAGGAACTGCTTCTAATACATGTACATCCTGAGTTCTCAGCATTTGGTAGACCTCAGAAAAGTTAATGCCGAGAAAGTGAAAATCCAGTGAGAGAAGAAATGGAGCATAACTCTCTCTGTTACTGGCCTTTAATCCTGCTAAATCCACAGTCTGGTCCTGGAGTAAATGAAGAGAAATGACCAATCTTGGGCAAAGGGGGGGTAGGTTCTGCATCACAGATCTGACCCCTCTTAACTGTGGGCATTTCCTACTTCCCTCTGACTTACCAGCCTGTGAGCTGCTCTGGCTACAGGAAATGTGCCCAAGTCCAGCAATGATTGGAATAACAATTAAGTCAGAGTCACTTTTATGTAGAAGTTTCTTTTTAAAAAATAGTTTCCTTCAAACCAGAAGAAGGAAATTTTTTACTTTAAGCAAGAGGAATGCTTGCTAACAAGCCCATTTCTATGGAAATAGGCTCATTACTATTAATTTTACTTGTTACTGATCTATTCTTGATAAGCCTTTCAAATTTAGAAAAGTGCTTCATGATTCTCTAAGTTTAATAATTACAACTGCCTTTGAGGAATCAGGATCAGTGTTTCAGCCATGAGATATTCTTTAGGCATTTTTTCCTTAGGATGGTGAAGTGCATGTGTGAATGTGTGAGTAATAGAGAGAGAGAGGCAGAATGTGGGTATGTATGTGAATGTGTGTGTGCATATGAATGTGTGTGCATGTATGTGCATGTGTGAATGTATGTGAGTGTGTGTGCATGCATGTGCATATGTGAATGTGTGTATGTGAATGTGTGTGTGCATATGAATGTGTGTGCATGCATGTTCTTGCATGAGTGTGTGCATACATGTGTGTGTGGATGTGTGTGAGAGAGAACATGTGTGTGAATATGTAAGTGTGTGTGTGTGTGTACATGTGCATATGTAAATGTGTGTGATAATGAGTGTTAGAATGGGTCAGGCATGAAGTGGTCACACTATTTGTTTCTCCCCTCAAGCAAGAGCACACAGCCTCCTTCCAAAAGGACTTGTTTCCCAGAAGCCCTTTTTCCCATGGAAACCTCACCTTTAACAAAAGTTGAGCCTCCTCTCTGGGACCCCAGGACTCCTGGTTTGGGGCTGAGACAGTGTGGATACATCTAAGACATGCCAGCAAGAAGGAGGATAGATGAGAGATGCCACCCAGCAGCTTGTCCCCAGGAACCATATCTAGCCACTTCTCAACATTATCACTCATGATGACAATAATGGTTATTTTACAGGATGGGAGAGGGAAGAAGGGAGGAGGGGGAAGGAAGAAATTTTTAAGAGAAAGAAAGAGAGCTCAGAGTCTTGAACTATTCTCCAGCAAGTTGTGTCATTTACATAGATTAGTTTTTTCCCCAGAAACTCCTAGATGGTTCCGAGCTACCAGGCAGAGATAGTGAAGCTTTCCTCAGATAAGTTTTTCTAGAAATGGGGCAAAAGAGGCTGTGTCTGATCTCAGATTTCTGACTTTTCTTATATAAACCTTTTTCTGGACATTAATTTTAAAAATGATCAAAAAGGAAAGGCAAACACTGAACTATGTTTACATTGAACAAATGTCCAAGGATAGGATTTGTTGGTGACTCACAGTAAATATAGGATGAGACAAAACCTCTGTCTTCTCCTGTAGACTGTGAACTTCATAATGACAAAAATGTCCCTGTATTGCTGCTGCTCTGACTATAGTGCTGGCATCGTGTTTGGAAAATTGTAGGAGCTCAGTAAGTACTTGTTTAATTCATTGAACATACTTAAAAGGCCCTGCCTGTTTCTCTGTAAAATTATTCTGGGGGGTGTCATTTGCATTCTGGGAGACCAGAAGCTACCAGTCGGTGAAGTCCTGAGCCAGACTCTTCCCCCTGGCTGGTCAGAATATTTATGTACTCTGCTTAGGGAAAACACATCTGTCTCCACTACTAGAATGTAAGTTCTTTAAAGGCCAAAAGCTATTATAACTTCATAGTCAATAAAATATATGGCTCATTCAAGTGTTCAGTAACATTTATTTAGCACCCATTACATGTTAGGCAATGAGAATTCATTGGTAGACAAAATAATAAATGACACATCTGTCTAACTAGTCAGGTAAATAAATAAATAAGGCAAATCCATGTAATAATAAATGCTATCATAAAAATGAAATAGAAGAATTAAATTTGTTTTTAAAAGGTTAAAATGGCAGTAGTAAGTCTTTAAGTATCAATAATAGCATAGAATGCTAATGAAATAAATTCCCCCATTAAAAGACATAATATGGCTGAGTGGATTTTTTTTTTTAAAGCCAACTATATGCTGCCTACGAGAAATCTACCTCACCTACTAATGCACACAATGACTGAAAGTGAAGGGGTAGAAAAAGATATTCCAGAAAAATAGAAATCAACAAAGAGCAGGAGTAGCTATACTTAACATCAGATAAAATAGGCTTTAAGTAAGAAACTGTTAAAAGAGACAAAGATGGTCATTACATAAAGATAAAAACATCAATTCAGCAAGAGTATATAATAATTGTAAATATATATCCAGCCAACACCATAGCACTCAAATATATAAAACAAAACTTAACAGATCTAAAGAAAGAAACAGACTACAATACATTAATATAAGGGACTTTAACACCCCGCTTTCAGCAAT